CTGTGTGCATGTAAATATCATCAAAAACTAAGTATAAGTTAGATCTTTGATACTGATCTACTGATCTGATCTTTTTGTCCGATTTTGACCTCGACGAGATCAATGAAAAAATGCAACCAGGAGTGTGAACGAAAATTCATTCATAACATAAACAATATAATTTAATAATTCATTGCATGTACGACATTCAGGGATGCCAAATTTTGATGAAAAGTTGAAGTCAAAATCTTTTGAAAGGTAATAACAAAGATCTTCAAAAATTTACTTTTTTTTACAATAAAAAAAAGATAGAATTTGATTACGGGGAGCAGAATTTTGGAAAAGCAAATCAAAAAAAAAAAATCACGTCTGAAACTAAAATTTTGGTAACGGTATAGCCCATAGCATCTTCAAAAATCGAACATAAATCAAACGATCGAATGAACAAAAATGTTGAAAATTCCTTACGAATAAACCATGTTGACAGCTCTGAATTCAGCGTTTTTTCATATTTATGTCAAGTCTAATGTTTACGGTGTTTGAAAACAATAAACAAGTACAAGTTTGACTTTAAATCGTCATTATTTAAATTTTCCAAGTGGCAAACTGTGTGGCATGTTTGTGCGAATGATGGCCTGAATTTATCTTCTATTTATTATGAATTAAAGACGAAATATTCTGCATATGCAAATTATGTTGTCAGTTGGATGAAGTAATATACAAATTTACTATATGATAATAAACAAGTAAGCAACGATGCCATCAAATCGATTCAATACGAGCCCCAACTTTTATGTGTCTTCAATGCACCAAACATTTGAACAGGGTGTTCATCAAACCATAATCAACATGTTTCAGCAATGCATATTATTTGATATGGTAGCGACATAGATTTCAAACGTTGTGAATAATAATATACACCCGTTACAATAAAAAAAATGGTCAGTGTATTTGGAATGGTTACATATTTTGCGCTTTATACGCGTGTAAATATTTATTAACTGATTATGACACACTGGTTTCTACGAGTGCTCATCAGTGAGCTAAATGTCAATACTAATTAGTCTTGAGTGTAATAACCGTTATTTACGTGCCCAATCGCTTACACATCGAGTATACATACCAAATAAAACACTAATAATCGGATTGTGGCACATCATAGTAACATTCGTTTTCAGCTATTATACATATGACAATGGAAAAAGACGCACAGCACGCGTTTTTATTTGAAATTTTGTTTATGTGTTTTTTTTTTCGAATTCACGTAAACCGATTTTCATATCGGTGTATAATAATAGGCTGAATAAAAATTTAAAAAGCATATATCGTCTGCAAAATAACAACAAAACGTCTGCGTACAATTAGTATTTGTTCAAGAACATTATTCATTTAAATCCGTTTGTTGAATGTCAATTCATTGTTAAATAATTAATAACGTTTTGGAATTGCAAATAAGTGTGTGAAGTGAGAGAAACAAAATAAATAAAGCATACACCAAAACTATATTGATTACAAAAAAACACAATCATTTATAACTAGTTGAATGTGTTTTGTTTTTATTATGTTTTATTTTCAATTAAATAAATACAAAAATACGAAAATGCGAGAAAAGGCAATAAGGTGAAAATAAAAAGCAAAAGTGTGCAATTAATCAATATTCTAGCCATTTGTACGAAGTAAGTGGGTAGCAATATACTTTATGTTTCACACATACAAAACAGCAAAAACATTGATTGCATAAATAAATTAGTATGCATAACATTTGTTCAGATTTAGTGCAAGTTTAAAACCGACAGAAGTCTGTCAAAAAAAAAAACCAACAACAACAACATGAAAATGAATATTTACGCAGCAATAACTTTGACAATGACACAATTTCCCTTTCAACAGCTATGAAACACAAAACACAATCTTTTGAAATGATTTTGTAAATAATTACGTCAAAATGCATCTTTGCACAACGTTAACCAATATAATGTTCGGATTGACTACTCTGATTTATCTTAAAAGATTTTGGTCTAATTTAGCAGTGACCATGTAAAGGTCAAACTGATGATGGGCCGACACATAGGAAACAATGAACGAAATAGAACTTTGAACGAAAGAAAAAGAAAGTAAAATAATGAATTCAGTAAGCCCAATGTACTTGGCACATACTTGGCTGGGCATGAAATTAAATTGTCGCAATGAATGTGATTTTATTTAAAAGCGCGTTAAGAGTTGATTCACCCATAAAAGTAAGCGGTTTGTCTGGTTTTGCAACATTGACATTCAAATCGAAACGACAACAACAAACATATCAACGCATTGGCATGAAGACATTTCACGCACTTTTGTGATATACCATCAGCCATACAATGAAATCACATTAATGCATTCATCTTAGGCTATAGCCATGTCAAACATACTTGTAGTGAAGGTGCGTGCTGCCCTGACTATTTCAATTATTTATTTATATTTTTGTTGTAGTTCTTTATATCGATTTTTGTTTGTGTCTGAGTGTATTTAGTATGGATTAGCGTAAATCAGTGCATCAAAATGGTTATGTAAAACTTCAGCCAGCGATTCGCTTCAGTGCGCTGTGCTAATCATTTTTTTTTCTCTTCAGAGGATACGCACACTCAACATCAAAATCGCTAAATAGCGGGCTAGTTCTTTCAGTAAACATGCGCCAAATACTGACCACAGTTCGGAACGCTCTAAGTGCTTCGTACGTTTCTATAGCTACTGGCACAAACCAGTTTTAGTATTTTGCAGCATTTTTTGTCGTCTGTCTCATAGAATTAAACTTTATCAGAACCATTGAGAACGGCGAAGATACTTTGGACTTATACGTGATTTTTATTCGTTGTCTTATGTTTTAATAATTATCTTCTTTCGATTTCAATATCTTATTTTCAAATGAACTGCGTCATTTAGACTCGTTTAACAGTCTATTTGATGTATATGCTATTTTAGAACTTTGACAACACAGTATTTTGACCTTTCTCAACGACAAAAACAATGAAGAAAAAACAGTGCGAGCATATTCACGTCGATCAAATAAAACGACAACAAAAAACAGTTTCGGAGAAAATAGAGAAAAAAAGATAACAGAAAAAAACCAATTAGATCTTAAAATTTTCGAAATTAAAATTCAAACCAGTTGAATGAAGCTCAACGAACGAAGTTGAATCGATTGTTTATATTTAGTGCGTCTCAATATAACCATATACGCTGACTTTACCGATGAAGACTCATTAACTTAACTGGAAAGACTGGCTGAGTAATACTAAAAAAAAATATGGCTAAACGATTTGAGGATAATATCTTTACAGTTTTTTTTTGCTTTTGCTGAGAATATTTAAAATGTCTACGTATTGTTTTTGTATTGATATCATTTCAGATGAAGAATAAAGCGAAGAATACACAGTGTGCCGATAACAGCTTAAAATCGTTAATGTTAAATGGGTGACTTGGAAGTGGGTCTATTTCTTATATGAATTATAGAACCATATGGTTTCATATGACAAAGACAGAATTCAGCTGTTTTTCGCCATGGAATGACTTTCATAAATTTTATTTTGTAAATAAACAGGCAAAGGTCTCGAATTCTATATGTCCATCCTTGCACTTTATATGCTCCAGTCACACAATTCGTTTTCATTTATTTTGTTGTGTGCCTTGCATTATGGATACAAGTGTTCATACCATTTGATTGTTCGAGGTCTAATGAATACGGTAGCTTTGGTGTATTATTGGTTCAACGAAAAGAAAACGTTCTATCAATAGACAATTGTTGCCATTCTATATTCACTGTACAGGATTGTGTGCACCAAACTGAAATTTGCTGTAAAAACAAATAGGATGAGAAAAAAAAATCGATTAGAATAATTACTGAATGAAATACTGTTCGCTTTCCCACCAACGTTGGTATTCGTACCGCTTTCGGTACTAGGATTCATTTCATTTTTCAACCCTATGCCATTGTACATACGCCATACGTTTGATGTCGCCTTTTCCACAATATATCGATCGCATTTTCACTATAACATCATGTTTTTATATGATACTAAATTTAGATTATTTCATTAGAGAGAGAGAGAGAGAGAGAGAGAGAGAGAGAGAGAGAGAGAGAGAAAAAAATGCACCTTATACATGTTGTGGCCAGTGGCCATACATTCATTATAATGCCATGAATTCAAAAGTGTTAGACGTCAAATAGTGGTGTGTTAGTGACCACCTTACCAACCAACAACACAGCAAACTCCGAATCGATGTTTTTGTTATTCGTTTGGTTCACTTTATTCGAACGAAACCCGGTACACATCAAAAGCATTCGATACATTCAGTTAAATCAACATCGACATTTCGATGCGAACTAATAACAGGCAAATACTGAATACATCATATATATATATTTTAGAATGAAACCATTGTTTAATGTGTTAAATGAAATTGTTGTAAAATCGGCATAGCAAATGAATCAAATAAAAGTTGTTAATTTACTAGAATAAAAAGTGATTTTTTCGCACTTAATGAATTCAAATACTTGTGTCGTACAATATTCGTGTCGAAGTGTGATCTTAATCCAAATCATTGACAAATCCGTGTTTTTTTTTATCAAATCCGTAAATTTAAAAAAAACGAAATCGAAATTCAACATTCATGAATGAGTGACAATAAAAGAGTAAATAATTAAAAAAGAAGTTGAAAAATTTACTCCAAAAGAAGTAATATTACACAATATTTTCTGCAAAAAAAAAGAACTTTCTGAAGAATAAAAAAAATACGATTCCGAACAAGTCGTTAACACACTCCAATTGTTTTATTATTCACATTTTCATTTTTAATTTCCCTTTCCATTTCCATTGCGATTTATTACGCAGCGTGACTTACGATGAATTATAGTCACGATGAACATTGAAATGTGGAATGCAATTTATGTTAAATAATAATAGAAATAATATAGTTACTAAATAATATTGACTTTATTCACAATTCCATTATTTTTTTTCGCCTCTTTTTCTTCATATATATAGATAGTTCAGACGATTTCGGTGTGCCTTTATAATGATACCAATTTGTGCTTTATTTTTATCGACTTTAATCACTTTTAACTATGCCAAAGCAAATCCAATTGGTAAGTGTAATATTCCATTTAATTATTTGACAGAAGCATATCCATTCAATTCATCAAGAGATCACAAAAGAACAATAGAGAAACTCAAAAAGCAGTTTCGTCAAAATAATAAACGATTGATACGTGTTGATTTTATATAAAAGATGCGATAAGCAGTTACAAAGACATTTCATTAAATTCGTGTTGTTGTTCATTATTCGTTGAATTTGCATTTTTTATGTTATTCCCGCTTCAAAAGGTGTTTGTTTATATTTATTGTCAGCTGCTTATAAACGGTACGAACATGGTACGAAAGAAGAATGGTTAGCGTTACAAAGACGCGCATGTCATCTATTGGCATCGGCAATAAAAAGCCAATATTCTCTAGTTATTATGTTCATAGTTTATTGGTGCTTTTACTCCTTTATTAAGTTTACGCGTTGAAGTGGAGACGCCTGATATCAACTGGCCAAAAGTTTGAACACATCTAAAAGTTTTAAACTTGCTTATTGAATTAAGTTTAGTTTTTCATTGTTAATTTCATACGAAAGTATCAGAATTCGATCAATGTGAATAACCAAAATGCCATCTTTTATGTGGTCTTTCTTCATATTGGCTTTAAAGATTCTTTTTTATTCATATCTTTTTTCAGGAACTGGTGGTCCAACAGGTATGTTGTTATTAACGTTGTACGTTTAATGAGATTGTATGTTGTTAATATTATAATGTCCATAATAGTCGTGACTGAAGGTAAGGATGCCTTGTTAACATGCGTGATAATGGGATCGTTTTCAAACGATACTGTCTTATGGCGTCGAGGAAATAATGAAATTCTGGCAGCGGGCAGAAGTAGAGTGACTAGTGACAGACGTTTTCGAGTCTTACACGATGAATGTATGTTGAATTCTTAACAATCGATTTCATATCGATTAACTTATAACAAAAAAAAAACAATTCCAGCACCGAAAGGAAAAATGCAAAATGCATCCTCTGGTGGTGATGTATGGGTGCTTCTTATTACGGATACCAAAGCCACTGACTCCGATCTATATGTGTGCGAAGTGAATAGTGATCCGCCGATAAAAAGTTTTCACTCTTTAAAAGGTACTTCTTTTGAAAAATTGACATACACACACACGCACATTTCAAAGAAAATTCAATGGACATGACTTTTTTCTGTCTTAAAAATTTCAGTTAAATCAATCAATGCAACGAGTAAATCAGTTGCATCAAAAAATACTTCTTCAGTTACAACATCACCAATTTCGGATGATTCCGGTGAATCGGTCGAATATATTCATGATTTTACCGATTGTTGTACGTCGTCGAATGTTTCAAGTAAATGTTTGGGATTTTGTAAGATACACAACATCATCGATGGAACGGCCGGCGTTGAGCCGGATGTATGCGAAACGGATTTTCCTCTTATTGTAAAATGCATGGCTGATGGCCGAAATCACTTACCATGTTGTGAACAAAAAAAAATTCCCGACGTGTGCCAGGTAATATAGTTTTTTTTTTGTTTTTTTTTTTTTTGTGTCTAAATATATCTTAATTTGAATTCAATAAAGGATATGTGTGTCGGTGACTATACACCATTTACCGATTACGTGCGAAGTCGAGTGTCTTGTGTTGCTCACACATTGCCCGCATTGAAGTGCATTTTGGAAGGGGTACAAAATATCCCAAGTCCACCGCAAGCAATTGAAGTTGAACCATTGGATGAGAATTCGTTGCAAGTTAGTTGGTCACCACCAAAGTCGACCGCTAAACCGACGAGCTATTCGATATATTGCACCGTTTTACACACCTTTGATGAAGCATCTGTACCAAATATTACAAGTGAAGTGGCTGTTACTGTGTCATCCGATTTGGATTCAGCTGTTATACATCATTTAAAACCAAACACAATGTATTCGATTACAATGACTGCAAATAATAATTATGGATCCAGTTTATCTAGCGATCGAGTTCGATCGCTTACATTGGACAATGGCGTTGGTTCGAAAACTAGCGTGGCTGTTGTACCAGTTTTACCAGGTAATTATTACATATGTACTATATATGGATATTATTTATATTTAATTGCGAACAAAGTTAGTAACTCAAAATGTCAACTTTGAAGAGGTAAGCTGATGGCACCAGCTTTGGTTATGCATATATTTCTTTTGTTAAACGAATCGAATTTTATTATGAAGACATAGGTGGGTCCCCTATCCGAGGGTCCCCCCATTACAACTGTTGAAAGACAAATGTGATTTCACAAAATGCCGCACGCAAAGCGAGAAACTGTGAAATGATTTTCAAATGACAAATTATTAACACTTGCAGATGTCCGAGGTTGCTGCATTCGAAATGGAATGACTCATCGTAATTGTGTCGATAAAATGTGTGACCCAAAGAAAACCGATTTCACGCAAATTCCCGATTTAATGGTATGCGCACCTTGGGCAAACATCACATTTTCATGTTTGGCAAATAAAATCGATCATACGCCTTGTTGTAAATCAAGAGGAATTCCGGACACATGCTTATCATTTTGTTCTGGAAATGTAACAACTATCACATTTGCATTGTTCCGGTAACTACTTCACTTCCAGCCACTTCAGTAACTTGATTGAATCAATATAAAAATGATAAATATTTCTTTTAGATGTCTACAATATATGTCGGAATATAGTAGTTGTTTGCTACAAGGATATGGTGTGTTAGCCGGAACCCCAACGCGTGTAAAAGCTAGACTAATTGCATCACGATTTGCAATTATCGAATGGAATGCGCCAAAACTTTTACCTGAAACGGTCACCAGTTATAATGTTCATTTACGTAAAATGGATACAGAAGAAACGTTTACTATAATTGAAAAGGATCATGCACCAATAATCATTGAAGACTTGGACGCCAACAGTTTCTACGAGGTATATGTTGTTGCAGTGAATGCGCACGGACGTGGACCGCCTTCTTCTCGCCTCGTTTTTCATACAAAACCTCAAGTAAATTACAAAATGTCACCTTAAATTGGTGTGTTTTTAATTGTTGACATTTAATTTCTCTTTCATACAGATTGATTTTAGTGAATCCACATCATCATCAACGTATAACATAACCAATTGCTGTAAAACAGCATCAATATTACCTCAATGCATGCCATTATGTACATATGATATAAAGGTTTCTGATCTACTACTCCTTGGACAAGCGTGCTCTCTGCAAATGGGTAAGCGATTGAGCGATTTGAAAAGACCTTGAGGGCTTTTGATGAATGTTGGTATTTTATTTGTTGTATTTGCTTGCAGGAGCTCTTGCAAAATGCGCTGCTGGCGGTCGTGATCATACACCCTGCTGTTCACGTCGAGGTGTTGTGCCCAAATGTTTGTCGTTGTGCCGCGGTTTGATTCCGCAACCACATGTGGATTGCTTAGCTTATGGTGGTAATATTATTCAATGTTTCGAAGAAGGAACTGAAAACATTCCAGGACCGGTTGAAAATTTCCATGCAACACTTGTTACCAAATCATCCATTTCACTGGAATGGATACCAAACGAAGAAGATAATAATCACACAGTAAATGCCCCAAAGAAAACCGTTGACATTGACTATATTGTACAATATGGAAAAGTCAATAATATGACTTTGTATGAGACTGTCTCAAAAATGGAAAATGTACGTATTGAATAGATTGTTTAACTAAACGATATTTAAATCATAATCCATGTATTCTTGTTTACACAAATCTACAGGAATTGAACACAACTGACAATGACATTGAACTAACCAATCTCGAAAGTAATGCACTGTATCGTGTCACTGTTTTTGCTCGCAATGCCCATGGCATGTCGCTTCCCTCATCGATGCTGTTAATCAATACAACCGATAATGGTGAGCAATGAAATGATCACATTCAATTCAAAGTAAATTGACGATTTTCGTTTATTTTTTTTTAGTGAGAGACACTGATTCGTCAAATTATGGTGTTCCCTCTCCACCGCATTCGTTATCAATTTCAGCCCACAGGTTCAATTTTATTCTTTTCTATATTAATCAAACATAACTTTATACCAGAGCTGTTATTGGTACTGGGAGAAGTGCGGGCAGCTCTGCTTTATACTTAATTACTAAAGAAAAATTAACGCTTCACAGTGCAACTTATGTCACCATCAATTGGCAGCCACCCGAATATTCACATCTACACGAAACAATAACCTATCAGTACGTATTTAGAATTATTTAAATAGAAATAATGCAATCTTGGTCTTTAACATCTGTTATAACGATAATAAAATGTTGAAATCACAGTGTTTATCACAAGGCGACAGCAGATAATGAAACATTTACCACAATTGAAACGAGGCTGACATATGCACGATTAGTCAATTTGAAACCAAATTCTCAGCATATCATTTATGTCGTTGCCATTGGTCAAAAAGGAGAGAGTCTACCGTCCGAAACACTGGTTGCATTCACAGATCCAGCTTTGCCAGCTTTTGTCGATGTATGTGCACCGCTTATTGAACTTGAATTGAAGTGAATTAAGTATTTTAAATTTTATTAAATATTTACATTAGCCGCCAGCAATACAGCCTGACCTTGTTAAAGAAGGTGGTTCAATGACAATTTTCTGTTTGGCCTTGGGAAATCCAGTACCAACAATTTCACTCTACATTGGTGGACATCTTGTGCGACAGGAAGTTGGTCGTCACATAGTGACAACCATTCAAAATGTTACCAAAGATATGGAACATATTCTATGTTACGCAACAAATGGATATGGTGTACCAACCCAGGCTGGAAAAAAGATTAAAATCAATTGTAAGTATGCCGGGATATAGTTACCAACGAATCGTTCGAAATCTAATTTGACTTTTGCAAATACAGTTGCGCCTAAAGTTCAACCATCGGCCGTTACGTTAGCTTTGCTCGGCGATCGTGTTGAGTTGAAGTGTGTTGTAAAATCGAAACCACCACCAAAAGTAATCTTTTGGCGAGATCACGAGGGTCATGAACCGATTCCACTGGGAAGCAATTATGAAATGACAACCGATGCTAGTTCCGATGTAGGTTTTCATTTTTGTTTTTGTTTTTTTGTAAAAAAAGTGCATTAAATATATATTTATAAAATTCCATTACGATTAGGATCCAAGTACAATGACCATGACTCTATCGATTCTGCGACTAAGAAACGAATTTGTTGGCGATTATTTCTGTCATGCAGAAAATGAGATTGGATCTGACACCCGAGCCGTATCGGTTCGAATTCGAAATATGCCGGCCGCTCATAATGTTTCTGAATGTTGTATTGCACAAAATGTGTCATCAGCCTGTATGGATGCATGTAGTTTTTACATTGATATCGATGCCGTCAAAAATAGACCGGAATGTCTTGTTGATTTCGATAAATTAATGAAATGTGCAGCTGATGGTTCTGATCATCGTTCGTGCTGTGCAAACGGTGATGTACCACGATATTGTTTGAATTGGTGTCGAGGCGAAGCATTGAATTCATTAAGATATGGTGTATGTGTGTTGCAACACACAAAAACGATTATCGATTGCTTTCAATCGAATCGTGATCGTTTACCAAGTCCACCGTTGAATTTAGCTGTGATGATTGTTTCAAATTCAGAAGTTTTGATCAAATGGGAACCACCAAAAAAGAATGCACACATGGTTGAAGGATATCGCGTGTATTGGCACGAAGTGGAACCAACCGACAACAATCCAATCAATACGATTAACGGAATCGGTACCTATCGCGTCGATACCAAAGATCTAAACATTCGAATTGGTGATTTGAGACCGAATATTGTTTATGAATTGGTTGTCAAGGCTGGCAATCAATTTGGATCAAGTGTATTGACTGATCCAATCAAATTTCAACTTGGACAGCAATATATCACATCAGCGTCTGGTTCTGGTTCGACTGGCGCTATGCTCGGCATTTTCGCTGGAATGGTAGCAATTGCATTAGCCATTGCAGCAGTTTTATTATATAAGAAACGAATAACAATGAAAGCCACTGCTAATGGAGGTGTTTCGTTTGAAAATCCAAGCTATTTGCGAGAGGTCAACATGGAAAACGTTCAAGTGAGATTTTTATTCCAAGATTATTATTTTTTTCAAATTGGCGTGCATTTTTTTGCATAACGGTACTCTTTTCCATTGTGTAGATTTCTTCGTTGTCAGGTGATACATTGAACTGGAGACCGGAATCGTCTTCAGCGACAGGAACAATAGGAACAACGACCAATAGTCAAGTTAGTGATCAAAATCAATCGTCGAGCATACCGACTGCAACTGAAGTGAATCCATCAATTTACGATGAATTGAAACTAGGTCATAAAGGGGCTGGTTTTAAAAGATTGGTTTCTTAAATAACCGCTATATTACCACATTATTAATTATATCGGAGTGATGAAATTTTGTAATTATAACAAATTGTGTTTTCGTCCTGCAACACATCGTTTTATACAGCCGTGCTTTCCAACGTTTTATTCGACCTTAGCGAAGATAAAAAAATAAAATACAAACTAAAAATAAATGTTAATGAAGAAAAAAAAACGAGAAATATTTGCCATTTGCAATAATTTGTGCAACGCTCACAAAACAATTTGATGACCACGATTCATTCGATTAAGAATTTCTTTTCCAAAAGCAATAAATTGACTTTTCTCAAATCATATAGCGATTAATGGCAGAAAATGTAAATACTTTTATGATAAATAAGAATTTGCGAGAAAAATGAAATGGAATCTCTAGTCAATTAAATAAATATGCTTTTACATTGTTCTGTAAATGTAGCAGGTCTCACACCAAAAAGCACAAACAAACCCTAATTGTGAAAATGAAAAACTACGTTTATTGTATAGTAAAGAAAAGAGATTTGGAAAGCGAAGCAAATTCACCGTTTTATAAATAATAATACAAATCCTGTACAGAGAGAACTTAAGGGAAACCAAAAGAAACCACAGTCCAAAGTACCTAAAAAAAATTTTTTCAGAAGATGTTCTATATTTGTTCTTTAAATAAATTTTAATTTAAAACGAAAAAAAAAAGAATGTATTTTGTCTGTGTTACGTGTGTCCTTAATTTAATATTTTTTTGACAAAAACGAACAGTAACTAAAAACGATTGGTGATTCCTGTGTAAAGTTTTTATTTCATTCAAATTGAAATGTCAATATAAATACATACATTATTTAATTACAGTTACGTTTCAAAGAAGCTTAACAACTAGAATAATTAATGACTTTTCATGTCCATGTATATAAAAATAATCATAAAGTTAGATGTAGCTTAGAAAGGGATTCACTAAAATTATTACTATAATCAGAACTTCGTTTTTATTTTTTGCCGCAGGTAATCCTCCTCCATTTGTTTTGCATTAGTAATGGTTTTTGTGCGAATACCCATGAATAATTTCAGAATTATTGAACTTATTTGCCAAAATTCAATACACATATTCGCATATCGGTCGTTCAATTCGCCTGAATATAGACAATTTTGGTTTTCTTTTTCTCACAAAGCTATTCCAATGGTTTTTCACTTAGATATTATACATTTGTGTGTAGTGTGTACCATTGTATGAACGAACCAAGATATTTTTAAGGATTAAACTTAGCAATTTTTTTCACACAAAAAGAAAACTGTTCAATTAGAGGGATACTAAAATCACCGAAACGCATTAAATAATAATTTGGTATTTTGTTTTTTTTTTATGATGAACAATTTAAATAATTTATCTCATTTGATGAAATCAAATAAGCGATTTTCTAATGTAATGCTTAAAATGTTTAAAAACAGAAAAAAGAAGTACCTCTATACTTCTTTTTTTTTGAATTGATTGAATATGTCACTGTGACAATATATGGTATTGCTACTGAATTAACCCCATTCATTGTCATGATGAGATTTTCAGTCATTCTCTCAAAGTGCTTATTGACCTTATTGTGATTTTGTGAGTGGTCATTAATTCTTAAGCATTTTTCTGCACTACTCAGAGAAATTAAAGAACAATAAACGAGGTAAAGTTACAATTTACACTGATTTTTTTTTGCGTTCACAGTAAAATGTTTCATTGCAAACTAGTTTTATACTCTTTAATTTCTGTGGGCAGTAAATTTATAAATTTTAAGGTAACGTTCAATTTTTTTTTAAATTGCATTATCAAATTGCGAGTCTTAATATTCTGAATGATGCAATATTTCACTGGCATTTCAAATAAAGTAGCTTTTTTCATTCAAATTCTAAATTTCGTTTATCGTGCGATTAAAATTATGACGAAAATACTGCCTAAATCATGGTTGTCGAATCAAATCATATGTTGAAAATTTAAAACACCTAATTTGATTATATTACATCCCTATTTGATTTTCCATGTTGAGAAAATGAAAATGAAGGGAACAAACTGAGAATGTATCGTAAATTCATTTCTTTTTTTTTGTTAATAATCCACAAGGTTTAAACATTTATGTTTAAATGAAATACGGAATGAATTCAGACTGGAAAAAAACAACTACTTAAAAGCTACCTTCCATTGAATATTAGTTAATTAGTTATGTTTCTTTTAGAAATAAAAAGACGAAACGTATTTGAATTGAGACAAAAAAAGAGTGCTTAAAAAATATCTCTTGAATACAACTAGACCATTTCACTTAATACAGTACAAGCTAAAATATTTTTGGTTGCACACCGAAAAAACAGTTGTTGAAATTGTTTGATTGCAAGCCCAAAATATGGCTTTATCGCGTGAATATATTTGATTTTATTTCTTTGTTGAGTTTTTACAAATGAACTACAATTGTTAAGAAAGTTTTATTTTCATTTTTTTTGTTTGTTTGATTAAAGAAGGAATTCATTGGATTTGATAAATGATGGAAAATTCATATCGATCAATTTTGTTCATACAAATCATGCATCGTATCTTATCTCAAATCATTTCCAAAAACCAAAACAAAAATATATTCATTTGTACACAATCATGTCCTATCGAAATGCCCTTTTTAAAAAATATGGTTTGTTTGTTTTTGTGTGTGTGTATGTTTTTTTTTCTTCAAAAATGTATTAAACTAAATTATTTCGAGCTTTGTCACTGTAAACGAGACCAATAGCTCCCTCCGATGTCTGATGGAGTCGATATTTGAATAGGTACTGAAATACCAGCTGTTATTAATCCTAAAAAATAACGATTGATTTGATTTAAATTGAACATTTTCTCGAAATTATTCATTTGTTTATACCTGTGCTTGCTGATGAACTGTTTAAATTGCTATTGCTGCCAACACTTCCTGGGGTGCCGTAGTTTCCGTGTTGCGAATGTGGTTGTTGATGAGCCACCGTTGGATTGCATGATGCATGATGTCGTGACGGATGCGCTGCATATTGTGCGCTCAATGACAATGGATCATGAAACATGTATGGATGATAACTTTCACGTTGTTGCAGGCATGACGATGCCATCGAGCCCAATGGCGTAGATATTGGACTGAAATTTTTTGAAATGAATTTCTATTTTAAAATCTGATCCATTGTAAGAAAAAAAAAGTTCCGAAACCGTGTTATTTTATAATTTTCTATCACTGATTGACCTTTGTCTCTCTTGTCATGGATACTTGCGAACGCCATAAATTTTGGTGTTTTTTTTTAAATAGCGACTAATGTGAATAATATGTGCGATAGCACGCATAAAAAACGAACAAATGTTACCTATAATTTTCGGTTATTGATCCAATTGTTTGAGGTATTGATGTATACATTGAGTTGAATCCTGAATTCAATGGCAAACGCGATGGAGTCGATCCGCTTCCAATTAATGATGGAGATGTTCCCGTGCTACTTCCACCACCGCTATTACCTAAGACATTTTAAAAATGTTTTCGTTACATTTCTTTTCCATAGTCGAAAGAAAAAAAAACACACCATCCAATCGAAAAATTGTAAAATATTTATTGGTTTGCTAACCTGTACCGTTGTTATTGCCACCATTGGCTGACACTAAACCGCCATTGCTTTGACTATTTGCCGTTGAAACTGAACCGGTAACGCTGTTGTTGTTCTGCTGGTCCACAGATCGTCTTTGTGTACGAAGTTTCTCCTCTCGACGCCATTTGGCTCGACGATTTGAAAACCAGACCTATACGTTGATTTTGCACAATACCCACAAAGTTAATTCAATATTTAAATTGTATGGAATTTAATTTTTATTAAATGATCATCCAAATGCAGAAAACGACCAGCTACAAACAATACAAATCTACTGCCAAAATCCATACTAAATGGAACACGTGTGGAATAATTGTTTTGCACCATGACGTCAAACGTATTAAATTACCGATTGCTCAGATTTCTTTTTTATATAGCACGGATTAAATAGAACGAATGATGAAAAAGTGTCGACAATCAATGCTTGTGTGTAAACGGTAGAAGCCATATCGTGTGTACCATTTTGAGCATTTATTGAGTTCAAAAATTGCTTGAAGGGATTTCATCAACACATTATAGTCATTAATGTTAAAGATGTGGATTTTCAAAATGTGACGCACTGACTTTTCCATTGACATCAAATGAATTGAACAAGGCAAAGAGGTAATATCATTTAATTTTAGAATGTACCTGAATTCTTGCTTCGGGTAGTTGGATTTTCTCTGCTAAGCGCTCTCTTGCAAACACGTCCGGATAATGTGTGCGCTCAAATTCTTTTTTCATTAAATATTGAGAATCGAATCAAATTTAAATGTGAATATATTGTAATTTAACTAGTTTTAGATACGAAAGGGACAGAGAGTCAACAACCATATTATACCTTTTTCTAAATTATCGATTTGCTCGTTGGTAAACGATGTCCGATTTCGTTGTAATTTTCGTTTGAGACGTAGACGTAATTGACTGTCCTCATCTCCGGATGAATTTCCACCATTATCTGAATTACCGTCCGATGTACTTTCATGTGAATTGGCCAATGATGGTGTTTGATTTATACCGTCGACTGAAAATAAATCTGAAAATTATCAGAAAAATCACAATTTAAAAGCATACATTTAATTTGAGTGGAATCGATCATGACTTAGAAAAACAAATTTCAACCATATATCAGCAATTCAATGGATGTGACGTGAAATGGAAAATTTTCCATACAACAGCAAAAAAATCGTCAGATCTTGATATAATAACTGAATTTAAGATATTCGCAATTTGTTTTGATAGCTAATGAAACTAATCAAATAATGTATGTAAATAAATAAAGAGCAACCGAACTGAGTCATAATCCATGTGCTACATCGCATATAAAAGTAGTGAGACGATGATAGTCAACATATTCAAAACAAAAGCCAATTTAGGAAGTAAATATATTTCATTTGCGACACAAGTCCGAGTCCGAAAATATTTGATGTGATGTGTTTGTCGCCACGACAGTAACGCAACTATCAATTAAGGGCTCATGTGTGCGCATTACTGCATGCAATAATATAGTGGGATCGGTATTCAACAATTTATACAATGTGAGAATGAACAAAATCGAAACAAGTAATAATTGGATATTCTAATTGCTAACCAAATCATGCACACAGACTGAGCAACACACCATATTACATCATGGAATCAAGCGATTTTAATAAAATCATCTGAATAGAAAATGTGTTGCGCGCTCACAATCGCTCTAATTTAATACATTGTAATTGACTTAAATTATGTAATTTTATAAATACACACACAAATAGAGATAGAGAGAGAAAGAGTGAGGCGGTCTACAATATGTGGCAACGAGGTTTGGCCAAGTTCTGCTTTTGACACAACTTGACAAATGTTATACTTTCGATGGTTATTTGTAATTGGATATCCTTTTTGAGTGCAATGAATTGAACGGAGCTGTTGATTTTTCCCTTCCCACACATACGCACGATACCAACAAACAAAGAAATTTGTATTGATTTCGGATTGAAGCGATCGATTTTGTTTAAATAGGGTATATTTATAAAAAGATCCATGCCACTCGTACTGATTAATTCTTTAAGAAATGTTGTTTTTTATCATTTGTTTCGATAGTGTTCATAAAAAAAAACCACCAACAAAAGTAATTCAAATAAACCCTTTGATTGTGTTGAAAGATCATGAATGCTTTTCACAACAAAACCATTTTCTTTGCAGGTGTATATTAAGCATAGGCTTTCGTTTTTGATTGTCGAGGATTTCGACGGAGTGTTCTTCTTTTCATTTGCTTTCGTTTTTTTTCATTCACCGTTTTTTCCTTTCTCTCTGGCTCTCTCTCTCTCTCTCTCTCTCTCTCTCTCTCATTGAATGCCAGTGTATTGTTGTGTCTGAGGCATGTGAACTCATAGCCCCTAATACCAAATCGGTGACTATAGAATTCATGTGGTGGTTCGATGTGTTTGGAATTCACCAAAGAATTCACCAACAAAGCATTACATATATATGTTTTATTTTGCAACCCTCTCAAAATACCAAAGATCCATATTAATAATAGTTTTATACACGGTAAGAATGTGGAATGTGCAAAAAGCACATTCATGCAATGTGTTTGTGACGCTTTAACGAATTTTGATCGAAAATCCGTCAAAAGCCGCAACGGCATCGATGTGGGGCACATCAATCAACATCGTTTTTTTTTTTTTTTTTTGAAATGCAGAGCACTCACACCGCCCACCCTAATTTTTGATGATTTGCAAATATATATAGAAACCACGAGGGAAACACTACCACGCTTTGTCTCCGACTCTGATTGGCATTGTTGTTTGGTTTCGGTACGAGTCGCAGAAAAAGACGTAATATTCATTTTTGTTGTAGCTAATTATGATTTGTTTATATTACATGTATTTTCATCATTATGAGCACATAATCATTATATTGTTTATTGGGCCGTTGCTTTGGTGAACACAGAGAGAAGAAAAAGAGATAAACTGTGTGAACACCTTCTTTTTTTTCTGTATTATTGTGTGATTTTTTGCTCGAAAATGCCGATCCAATTATTGGTTGTCACAAGCAAAGTTTGCGTTATAAGCACTTTTTTACGGATTACTGATTACAGATTTTATCTCTAGGTAATCGATCGATGTTCGGACTCGATATGCAATACATGAGGGTTGATTATATATTGTATGTGATATTTCGTTTGAGAGAATGCGACAAAAAGAGCTTCAATTAAATTGCACGTATTATTTTTTCGAGTACAGTATACTTCAATAATCAAAAGTTATGTGTTTTTACATGTAAATAAAAATCATGCATGGCACGCAGGTTTTGATTATGGAGACAGTGCGTGTGCATTGAATCTTTGTACATTTTTCACATTTGTACATTTCAATGAACATCACCATAATAAATCTGTCAGTACAAAAGATCGCAGTGACAGTAACAACAGGGTATGAAAAGTTAACGGAACTCATAAGATACAAATAATTGCCAGCAATAAGTGTACGAAATCGTTTTATAAGTGTTCTGGTCTTGCTTCGATGCAGCCTATTTAATTTGAAACATAGGCGCAGCGAAACATCGCCACGCTCACACTTTACCCTGCACACGTTGGAACGGATGAATCAGGATATATCACAAACTTAATATATATTTTATATATATATGTGTCTCTGTGTGTGTGTTGCCATCTCATCGTCATCTCATCATCGATTCGATTTTGAATACACACACAATCTTGATGCCCTTTTAGCAGTTTTCATGGTGTTCATGGAGAATTAAATGCGATGAAAAAAAATTCCGCTCTTTTTTTTCTGCTTTATTTCGACGTCACTGATGCGTAACTACAAAGTTGAGCATGCAAAGAGCAAAACACATAAAGCAACCGCATAAGATGAGCAAGTTTATTGATGTAGGCGCTGCACGATATAGCACCATCGCCACACACACACAATTTTCCCCTGTCGAAAAATTAAGTGAAGTTTAATCCTTGGATGAACTGATTAGAAAATATTTCGTTTCCATAGTTTTACCCTGATTACAACATAAATATAAATAAATATGCAATATATGGGTTCGGTATGCACCATGAGCAAAAGAAAAATGTTTCCTTTTAATCTCCGACTGTGATAAAAGTGAGATTCTTGCATTGTTCAATTTGCTAAAGTGCACTCAACGGTAAAACATTCACATCGTAAGCACTAACGATTCAAATATCAACTAATTCCGTTTCATTATTGGCTAATAATAATAATAATAATAATCATGACGATCATCGTCATCATAACTCTCAATTCCGATGAATGAAAATAAATATATATAGAGAGAGAGAAAAAGACACGACGTTGCAAACATCGAAGATGAAGACATTTACACGTGTTGACTTATTATGTCGAAAGGATTACCTCGTTTGAGTGAATCATCGCGAATTAATTGATTTCCATTTAAATTGGTTGATAAATTGCTAGCCGTAATATTTGTAATGCTTGATGGCGCCGGAATCGATAATTGCGATGGAACATTTGCAGTGCTACAAGTGACAGTTGCTGCAGCCGCTGCCGCCGGATACCAAGCCCAACCGCCCGACTGACCGTTAAACATCCGCAGTTTATCGTACACTGATTCATTTTGATGTTGAATTTGATGCTCTTTTTGTGACGCCAAATTTCTTAGAACTCGGTTTATTGATGAAACCTAATCATTTTAAAGATAGAGAACAAAAAAACATTAGTCGATAGTCTGGAGAAGAAAAAAAAAACGTACATATGTGCAGTATTCATTTCACTTATTGTATCTAACAAACATGTCTCTTTTTTTTGAAAACAAAAAGCCACAAATCAACAATATTTCTTTGGTACAAATAAAACAATAGAATTTTAACAAAGTTTGGTTACGATAAAACACTCATCTATTTACATCATGCAAAAATATTGAATAAAGATTTTCGATGTGTTGCATGAATACGTTTCAACATATATATACACACAGTAACACACACACACATCATATACACATGCATCGACAATAATAAAGTAAAGCGTGCGGTACACGATTTATATTATAACAGTAAAAATAAAAATAACACAATGCTTAAAAGGGTGCCATTGTAGTTTTCTTCCTTTTTTTTCTCCCGTTGCCTTTTTTCAATTCAATTGACTAACTTTGGCAGACGAGCTGAACATATTATTTGAATTCATCCGACTGGAAAACAGCATTTTAATAAAATAAATTTAGCAAGATCGTTCTTTTTGTTCATCCGATTCGAACATTTCATGTTTCGTATGTTCGTAAACGCAAATCTACACTGTGAGATGAACGCCATACCGTGAGCTTTATTTTTACAATATACCAATAATACTGATGATGAGAAACAGAAATTGGTACACGGACACCGCACCACACTCGACACAACTAGAGATAACGACTTTTTTTTTCTCGCTGTCTCTCTTTCTCTTTCTTTCTTTCACTGTGTTGCCTGACGTTGGCTTTAGCTTGAGCACATTGTACTTTTATTTTTATTGTATTCCATCGTAATACTTCATTTTGTATTATGTCATATAATATTTACTATGCGCAATTGCATGCAGGCTGTAGACACAGCACAATGTACACATTGCATGCATATAATGAGGCCGAATCATTGAAGCGTATGTGTGCCCATAACGTACCATTAATGTATGTGTTCACATTGAAAGAGAGAATGAAGGCTTGATTAGGGCGGTTTAAATGTTTTTTTTTTCGGGAATGAGTCTTTATCACAAACAAGGAAAGTGAAAAGTTTTTTTTTGTTGAAATAAAGTAAAACAAATAAAACCGAAATAGGATAAGCCGACACATTGGACATTATTTTTTTTTTTGAAAAGGAAATTTTGTACTCATTTGATTGATACATTTATTTATTCTATACGTGATAGCCAACTATACGCAAAATAGGCATGATGTAAAAAAATAACAACAGAAAACGAAATTAAAATCAAAACCAAAAATTTGCCGGCACTAGTTTACTCTTTTTTAGAATGTGGTCCCCTTTTGTTCGTCGGCGCCGTACATTTCGATACGCATCGGCAAAGAAAAATAGAATTGATAAAACAAAATTAAGTATTATTTACATTTCAGTGAATCTATTAGGGTGTTTAAGACTATTGTCGAATCGTAGATGTATTATTTTCAATTTTCATCCGAAGGCTTCAATCAAATTCAATCCGCATTTCGACGGGATTTTGCATTCACAAAATTTTTGAGACGACAGGAAAAAAAACTCATCGCACCGCATTTGATGACAAGTCAAATGTGCATTTTGTTAGTATTGTTTCTGTGGGTAACCGACTAGCATATTATGTGCTATCGAATTGATTCATTCTTTTGAAAAAAAAAACCGTTCGTTGCAAGTAAACATTTAATTTCAATCGCCTCCAGAAATCAGCATGTATTCGATGTCATTTGCCCATTAAAAAGAAATTAACTGAATCTCGACTTAATCAAATGTATGGCGATTACATATGAAAGCCGATTCAAAATGCATATGAATTTCGAATACATTTTCATAACATAAAATAAATATTAATCTTTTCATTAGTCGTTGAAATTTTCTTGCAAACAAATGCTTAGCCGATAAATGATTCGATAAGTGTGATGACATGAATGTAAACGATGGACATGGATTCGAAATCGAATTTATGCAAATCAATTTATTATCATGCATGCGAGTTCGATACAAAATCGAAACGAATTCTTCACCAAACTGCATTAACAAATGTGAACTTTGCAAAGTGCCTCAAATATTTTGTTTAATTGCATAGATCCGCTTAAATTATATTTTGTTGAATCGCTGTTGAACACATTCAAATAACAATGCTGAAATTAAATCCGCTTATGGCATTTGAATTCAATCCCGCACAAACAGTCCGAAACCATCAGTTTGTACACAAATAACATTTCGAATGGTCATCGGATCGATCTCTCTTACAATTTTTTAATATTATAAAATCATTTTCAGATGAATTCTCATACATTTTTGGTACACATAATCAACACATCATCACAAATATTGTGTGCAATTAAAACTTTTAATAAACTTCATAAATATAATTGGAAAAAGATTTTATGAATTTCGGATCGTAAGAGAACATTTCCATCCATTTCGTTGGAACATTTTGAGTTTTTTTTAAATACATTGTAGGGATGTTCTACACACATGAGGTCAATCACGAAATTCTAGTGAATCTAATTTTTGATAAGATTTCACTAGAAAACTAGAAAATTCTAGTGCGTGAAGTTGGCTCTCAGTAGTTTTTCATATAAATTATATGGCCTTTGGTGTGAAGTTGGCTTCGTTTTCTAGTATTCACTAGCGTGATTCGCCCCATGTCTACACATCCATAATTTGAAATTTTAAAGTGCATTTCCAAGTCTTCATAATTTTGGTTTGCAAGAAAAACTGCATAAAAAGTTCAAATTAGAATTTTTTTCACTCGAAGATGATCAAAAGTGACCAGCCTAATATATTCTTCTGTAAAACATTCAAAACATCTATAAATTTAAGTTATTGTGGTTCGTTCGGCTACAATAACACCGCAATCAACAAAACCAAGTAGGTTTTAAATCGTTCATTTTGCTTAAGATTGTTATCATTTCATCAAATTATGGTTGCGCAACTTTTTTTTAACGTGGAATTTCCAATGTCGGAATATGATGGCGTTTTATTTTCAACCAAAAGTATGTTTTAGCGTAGATGGCGCTGATTTAAATGGACATTTGTATGTATAGACGGCGGCGCCGCCCTACTCAATTAAACACTGAACTACAGCGTTTCCAATCGTTGGGAATTTCGTATTCATAACATACATTATATATATTCAACCTAATGCTGATATATCCGTCTTCAAACAACATTTAATGGCAATCAACAGCATCAAAGTTAAAACAGCTGATCAAATTGTCATCGTTGGTGATTGGAATATTCCTGAATGTGATTGGAAATCGAATGATGACGGTTTCGATCTACTTCCTATGATCGGTGATTCAAATAGTGAAAAAGCGGTAATTGCACGGTACGTCACTTCTCATATGCTGGACATGGGCCTCTTTCAAATTTGTAATCTACGCAATAGAAGTCAAAACATTCTCGATTTAGTTTACACAAATATTCCTGAACTTTCTATGGTCGAAAAAGCTGACCTACCACTAATACCAATCGATATGGCAGACAAAGCGCATAATCAAATGGTTTGTAGCATTGAATGCAAACCACGATGCTTTACATCAAACAATTCATCGCCATCAATTTATTGCTTTAAGAAAGCGAATTATGATTTGATAAACGACCAATTAAATCATATCGATTTTGACAGTATACTTTCATCTAACGATATTAACGAAATGGTGAACTCATTTTACGATGTGGTATACGATGTCATCGATGAATTTGTACCAAAATCAACCATTAGAAACACAAATAAACCAATTTGGTACGACAAAAAGCTTGCAAACCTCAAAAACACGAGAAATAGACAATATAAAAAATTATGCAACAACCGTACTTTAAATAAAGATTATGACCAATCTAAATTTATTAAGGCTCGTGATGAATTTGACATATATCAAAAAGAACGATACGAAGGCTACGTCAAAGGAATTATAATGGAAACAAAGAAAAATCCGAGAAAGTTTTGGCAATTTGTAAACGGAAAAAGGAAATCAAACCAATTACCATGTAAAATGGAACTAGACGACAGAATTGCCACCACGGATAAAGAAAAAGCTCAACTATTCGCTGATTTTTTCTCATCCGTTTATACTGAACATGAGTCAGACAATGATCTCATAGAATTTATTCAAAACCGAAATGACCAGAACACATTTAGAATTATCCCGTCACCGGACGCAATCTTTTTCGTACTTAATGAGCTCGACATGAATAAAGGATCTGGCCCTGATAATCTATCACCAATATTGCTAAGAAAATGTGCAGAAAACTTTGTCAAACCGCTCCATATCATATTTACGAAATCGATAACTGAATGTATATATCCCGATAAATGGAAAATTGGAAAAATAGTACCTATATTCAAATCGGGGAAGAGAAATGATATACGTAATCACAGGGGTGTAAATATAATGCCAACTGGAGCCAAAGTATTCGAAAAACTCAATTATAATCAACTTAAATTAATTATTCTACCACGTTTGTCAAAAAATCAACATGGGTTCTTGCCCAATAGAAACATTGAAACGAATTTGATGGAATTCACAGCTGACATAAACATCGCATTTGATAAAAGCAAACAAACTGATGTATTTTATGCCGATATTTCCAAAGCCTTCGATACGGTTAAACAATCACTACTTATTCGAAAACTCGCCAAATATTCACTCAGTAATGAAACTCTCCTATGGTTTGTTTCATATTTCGAAAATCGTAAACAATTTTGTAGTGTGGGAAATTCAAACTCAGAAACATTTGGTGTTCCTTCATCTGTTGGTCAAGGATCTATTTTGGGGCCACTTTTATTTCTGGTGTTTTTTGATGATTCTGACGATAACATTGGTCAATCAAAAGCATACAATTTCGCTGATGACAAAAAAATATCAAGAGTTATAAACAACATCAATGATAATATACAACTCCAACTATCAATCGACAACTTTATCAAATGGTGCAATAATAACTGCCTCTCAGTGAATCTCAACAAATG